CTCAAGCAAAAAAAAAAAATGAAATTTTACCACTTACAACAACATGGATGAACCTAGAGGGTATTATGCTAAGTAAATTAAGTCAGACAGAGAAAGAAAAATACCATATGATTTCTTATACGTGAAATATTTTTTTAAAAAATATATTTTTATTGATTTCAGAGAGGAAGGGAGAGGGAGAGAGAGAGAAACATCAATGATGAGAGAGAATCATTGTTTGGCTGCCTCCTGCATGCCCCACACTGAGTATAGAGCACACAACCCAGGCATGTGCCCAAACCCAGAATCGAACCCTGAACTCCTGGTTCATAGGTCAATGCTCAACCACTGAGCAACACCAGTCGGGCTGTGAAATTTTTTTTTTTAAAAAAAGCCCAGATTAGCTCAGTGGATAGAGCATCGGTCTGCAGACAGAAGGGTCCAGAGTTCAATTCCAGTCAAGGACACGTACCTCGGCTGCAGGCTCCTCCCCGGCCCTGGTGGGGTGTGTGTGGGAGGCAACCAATCAATGTGTCTCTCTCACAATAATGTTTCTCTCTCTGTCTTACCCTCTCCCTTCCACTCTCTCAAAAAATAAAAAATAAATCAATGGAAAAAATATCCTTGGGTGAGGATTAACAAAAATAAAAAACAAAACAGAAATGGACTCACAGATACAGAGAACAAGCTGACTGACAGTTGCCAGATGGGAGGGGGTTTGGGAGCTAAGTGAAAAAGATAAAGGGATTACTAAGTACAAATCGGCAGTTACAGAATAGTTACTGGGTGTAAAAGACAGCACAGGGAATATACTAGTATTCAATCTATAATAATAAAAGCATAATATGCTAATTAGACCGGACGTCCTTTTGGACGAAGCCTGGGTGCCTACTGGTGGCTGGAGGGAAGCCTGGGTTCTGGGTGCCAGAGGGAAGCCGGTGCCATCAGCCGGGGGAAGGAAGGCCCACTCTTGCAGAATTTCGTACGTCAGGCCTCTAATAATATAATAACTATGTATGGTGCCAGGTAGGTACTACACTTATGGCAAGGGAGAATCACTTCATGAATTATATAAATGTCTAACCACTATGCTGTATACCTGAAACTAATGTAATATTGAATGTCAACTGTAATTGAAAAGAATTTTTTCACTTGGAATTATTTTTTCCATTTATATCCATAAAACTATGTAAGCTACCTTTGAAGATACAATTTTTTCTTCTATTTTTCTTTGCCCATCATCTTCTATTTCTTTGTTCAACTCTTCAGTCCAATTGCTCTGCTGTTCTTGTTTCACACCACTGAAAGGGTGTTCTGGCAGGACTGCTTCCTAAATAATAGTCATTAATACCATTTAAAGTATATATTTTTTTCTAACCACTTTATATTTACAAATCTTAACCATAGTTTACACAAATTTAATATAATAAATTTATTTCTAAGAACAGAAATAATTTTAAACAAAAAATTCTAGTATGCAAGAATTAAGCAGATATGTTTTGATTTTCAGAATCATATTTGTAACATATACTAAAAGATACAAGATAAATACAGGGTGGGTGAAAGTAGGTTTACAGTTCTGAGTACACAAAAACACAGTTTATTCTTGTATTATTATTTATTAATTATTGTATTATTTTCTATACGTATAACTGCAAACCTACTTGTATCCTACCCTGTATAAGGAAAGGAAACTTTCTAATGAAAAAATAGAAAATTATTTCTCCAAAGCAATGATAGTTTCCAAAATTCTAACCTAAAATAGTCTCACTTAGATTTGGAAAGGAGTTATATTGATAATTTAAAATAGATGAATACTGTTCTACATTTGGCTTCAAAATACAAAAAATATTGCCTTTGGACCCAGAGCCAGGAGGACAGGAGACCAACTTCCTCTATTGAATATTAATGTCTTTTTCTAGGATACCCTTCTTTTCCATTTCTGCTACCATAGCCCTATCACAATCTATGTCATTTCAATAAGAAAAATATATTGTGCCGTGACTGATGTGGCCCATTTGGTTGAGTGTCATCCCGTGCACCGGAAGGTTATTGGTTCAATTCCCAGTCAGGGCACATACCCAAATTGTGGGTTCGATGCCTGGTCGAGGTACATACAGGACACAACCAATCAATGTTTCTCTCTCACATTGATGTTTCTCTCTCTCTCCCTTCTTCCCTTTTTCCCTCCCACTCTCAAAAAAATCAATGATAATAAAAAAGTAGAATTATCAAAAAACTTATTATAGTGTCCAGATTAAATTTTGAATTCTAAGAAAGCAAAAAATAAATAAAAAAGTACTATAAAAACTTGTTGTTGCTTTACCTTATCAGAGTTAGTATGCTCTAACAAAAAGAATGTACGGTATTCTACTCAAATTGCCTTAAATGCAACAGCTAAGCAACAAGCATTTTGTTGTGAAATAACTGCAAGACGTAATTCCAAATAGTTTGACAGAATACAATGGCAATAAACCTCCAAATGTTACTATCTGCCCTTGTTTATACAAGAAATAAAGACAAAAGCTCATAGTTTACAATTACTTTCATAAAAGGATATATTTATACAAAAATAAAATCTTTTCATATCTCAGGTATGCCTACAAATCTTTAACAGATTTAAAAAAAGCCATCATATTTATTTAAGCCTAAAAGAGAAACTTCAAAAGGAAGATTATCTTCAGGTATGTGATTCAACAAGTCTTCTATCTCTAGAAATGTTATTTTAGAGGTCAAAATGGAAAAGAAAAACATGTGGGCCCTCTGAACTCCTTGTAAGAAATTCTCAGCATTGGCACTGTATCACCTTAGAATTCTGTAATCAGTTTCTGAAGTTTGATGTAACCAGATCTGGTTTCAAATTTCAGTGGAGCTGCAAATTATTTAGCACAAATCAAAAATACCTTGAAAATTCCTAAAATTGCTCAAAAAAATGTCTTATACACATATATTTACACAACCGAGTGGGAAATGTAATAATCAGCTCTCTGGATTAAGTCGTCAATTTTTTTTAATTCTTTTTTTTAAGAAAGAGGAAAACATGGATAGTTTTGTCTCGCACACACACCCCAACAGGGATCGAACGCCTGCTACCTTTTGGTGTATGGGATGATGTTTCAACCAACTGAGCACACTGCTCAGGGCAGTCTTCAATTTCTTATCCATGGATGTTTACAAAGCCATTACCACCCACTTGCTTGCCACCTGAATAAATCATTTCAGTTGAATTCTTTATTTCTTTTAAGTTGTTTCTTTTATTTAAAAAGATTTGTCAAACTTTCCACATCATGGTGATAGTTGTGTCAACTGATGGTCCTTAGTACCATCAACAGGAATCCCCAGTTTGGGTGCAGTGAAGAAGGAAACTTTATTCAGTGAAAACAGTTTGTGATACACCAGTGATGACAGAGAATCCTTGACTGGCTGTCGACTGCACACCCCACACTGGGGTCCAAGCCTCAACCCAGGCATGTGCCCTGACCATGAATTGAAACTTGACCTCGTTCATAGGTCAATGCTCAACCAGTGAGCAATGATGGCCGGGCCTACACCTCACTTTTGATTTTGGCCTTGCTGGCTGAAACAGCTTCCCAGTCCTGCCTCTCCCAAAGACAGTAGGATGTGGTGATCCAACCCCCCTCGCCCCTTAGGCTTGGTGGATTCCAGAGAACTGATGGTGTTGAAAAAGTGTGTTGGAAAAACAAAAAATAGCGGGGAAAAAATCCACTGGAAGATGAGAAGGAAAATGGTGAGGAACTGGGTTTAAGCGAGAGCATATATAATTTTGTTAATGTAGCCAGCCCAGGCAAGCAAGGTTACTTGTCTGCTATTCTGGTTGGTCGATTTTCCAGGGAATTCTTCCCCCACTGATCATCTAGACCCAGAAACCTTCTTGCCAACCTCACATGTCTCTTACTTCCCTTTGCCTATTTTCAGGCTATGTGGGGAAGACCTCTCTCCCCCCAGCCGCCACCCTGAAATAAAATTAACACCAAAGTCTCACTTGGTGAGCATTAATTTGAAACAGAAAAATAGAGAGGAAATATTATTAGGTCTGATCAAATAATTGAATCGATAACCCTTCCCCCAGGAACTGACCTTTAGGCCACTTCACAATGGACATTCCACTTGCTTAGACCACATTCCACTTGCTAAGACCATTCTCTCTCCCCTACGGAGTTTCTCAGAATCCGGACCTGCACAGAGAATTCTCGCTCAGAAAAAGCCCACCTAGATTCCTTTAAAAACCTCTGACTCCCCGTCTTTGGGGGTTGATGCCATTTTAGGGCTTGGCTCATCTGGATTTCCAAATGACCTAATAAATTCATAATTCTTTACCCCTTTTGGCCTCATGCACTCCTCCTTCGGCGATCCTAACATTTGGTGCCGAAACCTGGGAGGGTTCCACTGGGATAGGGAGCCATCCCGGCTTTGATCATCCTGAGTTTGCTACTCGGAGAGCAGTAGGCAGTGGCAGCTGGACCTGGGCTTACCTCTGAATCCTACTCGGGTGACTCGGTTGCTGGCCTTGATTAGGCCTCCCTCCCGTACCAGCCAAGGAGGATGCTGGATCAGGTATCTCTCCTTCTCCATTGCTGTCCCTCCATCCCACACCAGTCAATCTTCTCTAAGTGACTGACGTTCCACAATTTCCCTTGTCTCAAGTCTTCTGCCCATTCTCTCTCACTGACTTCTCGAAAGTGTCTTGTCTCAAAAGTCCTAGTGCTAGACCAGAAGACTCCTCAGCCATTTTGCTTTGGGTCCTTCTAGATTGAGGACGCCCAGTCCAGAGGGTCACCTCTCATTTCTCATGGTGATTTGTTTAGCAGTGGGACGCTGGCCCTAAACAGTCAACTGTGGATTTGTGGTCTGTCACTCACCTTTCCTCTCTCGTGAGCCATGCTAACACTCCCTTTGCACACTCACAAGCGAGATCATGCCCAACCAACTCATTTTATTTTGTAACACTGTTTGGCCACAATATAAACTAGATAATACGTCTCAAACGGCACTTTTTAAAAAATATATTTTATTGATTTTTTACAGAGAGGAAGGGAGAGAGACAGAGAGTCAGAAACATCGATGAGAGAGAAACATCAATCAGCTGCCTCCTGCACACTCCCCACTGGGGATGTGCCCACAACCAAGGTACATGCCCTTGACCGGAATTGAACCTGGGACCCTTGAGTCCGCAGGCTAATGCTCTATCCACTAAGCCAAACTGGCCAGGGCTCAAACGGCACTTTTAATTTTAACACATTGCACATTTAGATAATTGCTGTCACTGCAATGGAAAATAGTCAGAGATTCCCTACGTCCGGGCCTTTTTCACCCTTTAATCCCAATCCTCTCTCTCAGTCCTGCTCTACCCATCAGGTCTTTCTCCTTCACACAAAACATCATACCCCTCCCTAACACTTCTAATTCTGAATCTACTTTTGACCCAGCAGACCACCAACCTCTAACCACTTACACATCCCCTCCCTCACCTGCAGTAGATCCCCAAAACCCAGACCCTCCTAACCAGCAACCACCATCTCCCCCAGCTCCTGAGAGCCCAAGTCCCAAAAATGCAAGCTCCAAAACAGCCTTTTCCCACCTAACACTTGCTCTTGGGCCACCCAAAGACCACCCTCCTCAACAGCCTCTTCTATTCCTGTGCCCATTCTATCCCTGAGGTAACTGAGGGTATTATGGTCAATTATGACAAACTTGATGAAATTACTCAAGGCCCTGACAAAAACCCAGCTCTCTTTCTCTTCTGCCTCATGGAGGCCTTACAGAAATTTATCACCTTAGACTCGACTTTCCCAGAGGGAGCCCTTCTTCTGAACACCCATTTTATATCCCAATCAGCCCTCCACATACTCCATAAACTTCAAAAAATAGACACAGGTCCACACACCCTTCAGAAAGACTTCATTAACCTGGCTTTTAAGGTGTTTAATAATAGAGATGAGGAGACCCAAATCCAAAAACAGAGGCGAGATCAGGCCAAGGCTGAGGCCCAAACAAAGGCCTTTCAGCTCCTAGCCACCACTCTCACGAACCCCAAATGAAGTGCTGGTCCTCCAACTGAGGGTAAGTCAGGGGCTAAGCCTCCTCTGGGCCCATGCTTCAAATGCAACAAGGAAGGACACTGAGCCAAGTTCTGCCCAAGCCCGAGACCCCACCTGGGTCCTGCCCAAGGTGAGGAAGGGAAGGCCACTGGAAATCAGACTATAGTCTGGCCCCTCCAGGTTGGATCTCAGCAAGGCCAACCTCTGGATCCGGTTTGGAGTTCCCAGACCTCCTGGAACTGGCCACGGAAGACTAAAGCTGCCCAGGCCCTGACAAGGCCCCACAGACTTACACCACCAGGACAGAGCCTTGGGTAATGACTGCGGTGGCAGGTAAGCCGATCTCGTCTTGACACAGCAGCCACTTACTCTGCCCTCCCCAAGTTCACTGGGACCCTTGTCCTCAGTCTCTATTATGGGGGTTGACAGACTAGCCCCTCAGTCATTAGCCACATCACCTCTACACTGCAGCTTACTAAATACCCCCATTCACTCTTTTCTCACTCTCCCTCGGTGTCTGGCCAGGGATACCATGCATCCCCTCATAAAACCCAGTTGTCCCAAATGACCTACCTCAGTTTCACTCTCACCCCACAAAGCTGCGCCAATCCTTAGACTGTAAATGCCACATCTCCTCCATGACTGTCCCCTCCTCTTCTCTCAGGCTCGCTGGGTACTCTCGCCTCTGAGTTCCTAACTTTAGTCTTCTCGCAAAGCTCCTCTGACATGACATGGCGAAGGGACCCCCCTCACTGAGCCTTTAGATTCCAAGGCCAGCATTCTCACCCTTTAATACTCTGAAAACTGCTCTCACCTCAGCACCTTCTCAACCCCTCTTCCCAAAGAACAGCTGTCTTTACTACAGAACTGCAAAAGCTTACCTAACAGTCCTGCTACTATCAGAAGGTGAACTCATTATTACCCAAACCTTAGCACGTTATCTCTAAGGAAAAATGTGACAGTTTAAATACAAGCTGCTAGAAACCTGGAAACTGCAGTCCTAGAACAGGCTACTGGGCCTGCTCCCTCCTCCCCCTGCCTTTTCTCCAGCCTCATATGTCTATACATAATTTTCCAAAGTCTTAATAACTTAAAGTCTTTGGAGCATTGCTGGGTTAAATGATAAACATCTAAATATTTTTAAATAACATAAAATACTGAAACTGATTGCTAGACAAGTTTTAATTCTCCTGCTCTTAGTTTTTATTATAGAAGACCTCTTGTACTTTGTTGAATGTATATTTTCTTAAAAGTAAGAGTGTGTTCATAAATGTAAATGCTGGTTGCTTACTTTTTGGCTACAGCTGGTTATCTGTGAATAGGTAGAAGGTTTTATGTTGTCCATTAAGTCAGGACCTGATCACCCAATGTCCAAAGGGACCCCTTCTCTCCTAGTAAGCTAAAGCAGCCCCACCCAGGCTCTCTCCTGTTCCTTAAGGCCTTATATCTGAGCCTAGAATTTATTTCCACTGCTCATTCACAGTCCTTGACACTATCACTGAAAGTCTCAATAGGTCTTCCTGCTTGGTATTTAGGAGCCTCTCTCCCCTTTTCTAGCCTTCTTAAAAGTCATACACTTCAAAGGACACCAAGCCAGGAATGAATCCATAATACAGGGAAATAACAAAGCAGACCAGGAAGCCAAGGCAGCGGCTCAGAGGAACCCCCCATGTCCCCAACTATTAGCTATACCTCATATAACACCCTAATACACTCCAGAGGAATTCAGTCCCTATTAGCTCTTGGGGCCACTCAGGAAGATCCATGGTTAAAATTTCAGGGAAAATATATCCTTCCCCAGGAACAGGCCTATGATATCTTACGGGCTATTCACAATTCCCTACATATAGGAAAGACTGCTTTTACAACTCCTAAACCCCTTCATCACATGTCCTAGCCTAGTCTCCCTACTGCAAGATATCACCAAAACCTGTTCTGCTTGTTACTCAGTGTCTCCCCAAGGACAGGTTAGACCTCCTTCTTTCCCCATTCATCAGTCAAGGGGCCAAATCCCTGGACAAGTCTGGAAAATTGATTTCACTCACATGCCCCCTATTAAAAGAACCAAATTATCTTTTAACCCTCAAATATCTTTTAACCCAGTATCAGGCTGGGTAGAAGCCATTCCCCACTACGTCTGACCCACCTCATTACAATTAGATAATGAACCTATTTTCATATCTCAAATGACTCAACAGGTCTCCTCCACTCTGAACATCCAGTGGGACTTACATCCCCCTCCCCCACTAGTCCCAATCTTCAGGCAAGGTAGAAAAGGCAAATTCCTTAATTAAGTCTCACCTAACTATATTAACTCTCAAAACTAAAGAATCTTAAACTACTCTCCTACCTCTAGCCCTTAAGCACATCAGGGCAATCCCCCCCATGCACCCTCCTTTCTTAGTCCCTTTGAACTCATGTATGGAAGACCCTTCTTATTAGGAAACTTCCCTTCCACAGAGATCCCTCTCAGAGACCAAGTCCCCATTTTAAATCTCATCATACAATCACTGAAGAACATGCTGATCAGGTCTTCCCTCAACTTTTACAGGAGACATCCCCCGAACTCCTCCTAAAGGAAATCCATCAATAATTAACAGCCCTCGTGGCAAGGCCCTTATCAGGTTCTCATAACTGCTCCAACTGCAGCTAAACTATCAGGATATACCCCATGATTCCACCTTTCCAGATTAAAACCCATCCCCAGAACACCTCCATCACATGAGCTGGAGTCCCCTAACTTTACAGCCACCAGATTGGGCCCATCAGACTCCACCTTGCCCACATCCCAGAGGAAGACGACGAATGAGTGAGCACCCATGCACGTGACCCCTATGTACTGACTCTACCAACCCTGACTTCCCGGGAAGCCCACCTTCTCTCACAATACAAATCCTCCAGGTCCTAGCTACTGTCCCCCCTCCCTTTACATCAGGATTCTCACCTTTCTATGGGACTTTCTTCTACAAGGGGACTTCGATTACCCATGGGATGAGACTTCCTTCTTTCTAGGTACCGAACAAACCCTTTCCCCCTCCTTGGGACAATCCCGACCCTGGAAGTGGGGATTAGCTCTCCTTCTCATTCTATACCAACCATCCTCTCCTACACCCATTAGGAACTTTCTCACCTCCATTCATCTCAAATGAACACTTAACCTTACCCATTCCCTCCTAATCCAGACCAATTCAACCCTTGCCAGGGATTGCTGGCTCTGCCTTTCACACTCGTCTTCAGCAAATACCACCATCCTTATATCAATCAAGAGACGGAATTGGGCAAAAATCACTCTAGCTTATAAGAAGGAAAAGGGAACTATATTTCTCAAAAAGGCAGACACCCTTCTGGGTAAATATTATACAGCCCAGGCAAATCAAGCCTCCCTTCTTTTCTGTTCTTATATTCAATCTCCTACAAAGGTAGCTCCTCCCTCCCTGTCCAGGTCCTTTCACTATAACACCCCACTAATCACCCAAACCCCTTTATGCTTTACAAGGTCACAGGGCAATATATCAATGGGCCATCTCCCATCATCAGCTTGCAACACACCACAGTTAACCTAGAACTACCGAACGGCCATTGGTCCCAATGGAAGCCAATCGTTACTTTCTACAGCCAGTTCGTTTTTCTTCTTATTCAACCACCCAGGCCCCAGGCTTCACCTGCTCCTTTCGTTCCCTTTCTCTTTTCCCTTGGATAACAGCCCATTGTAGAGTTCCAGTCCACTTTCACTGCAATAGAATCTCAAGCACTCATCTGTCACCCCTTATCGGTAGCGCTATGATGACTACCCTCTTGGAGTGTGGAACTGAGAAAAGGAACCTCATACCCTTTAGTCCATCTCTTCTCTCTTTACCTTTCAGCTTCTCTCCATGACCAGGGATTTTTCTTGCTCTGTGAGGAATACACATATAGCTGCCTCCTGATCAACTGGACAGAAACCTGTACCTTCATCTCTCTCACCCATTGTAGATGTAGCCCCCAACAATCAGTGTTTACCTGTCCCCATAACCCATCATATCTGACACAAAAGAGAAGTCCAGAGAATCCTTCTCCTAATAACCCTGGGCATCAAAGTAGGGGTTGAAACTGCCATATGGAGCCTAACCACTGCTCATCCTATGTTGAAATACTGTCTCAGGACCTACCAGAAAGCTCTGGATGCCTAGCAAGGAGCAAAACTGGAAAAACAATAACCTCACCCCCAGGGTAAACTCTCCTCCCCTTTCATATCATTAGTCAGGCCATTTAGACCCCTGACCTTTTCCTCCCTAAAGATAACATCTAGACCTCAGTTGTATTTCAGCTCCAGGCCCAGAAAAGCAGCAAAACCAGACAAATGACGCTGTGGCAGCCTCGGACCAGCTTTTACCTCCCAAGTCACTCAACCGGACCGCTTTTGAGCCTTCACCAACCAGTCTCTTGGGGAAATCATATTGCTGCGACCCCTCAGCCAGCCCACTACTATCAAA